ACCCTTTCAATATCAGTACTAATATGTACCATTTAATGGTACAAAGATTTTAGCTTTCGTACCTTAGGGTGCCGCCCCAGTGGCAGCTTTGTGTCTTTTTGTCTAAGAGTGTACAGTAGCGTGGAGGATCTTGTGGGAGGGTTCTGGACATTGGTAAAGCCATGGAACTTGTCTCAAGCTGCAAAATAATGACACAGCAATGCACCATGTACACATGGCCGTACCCAGGCTTTGAAAATTTGTGAGGTCCGGGGGTGTGTGTGTGGGGATGATGGGGGCTGGTGTTAAAGAATTGTGCTATAATAACCCCTACAAATACAACTCATTATATACACTATAAAGACTTTAAAGGAGACAGACATGTAGATGTTTGTGAAAGATGTTTTCTCTGTTTTGGAGTGATGATTATTTTTAAATCATACCCTATTTATTGCATCAAAATTTGTTAATACTTTACTATATTTAAGGGTGGACAATTTTATCAGTTTATTGCAACAATACATAACTACAATAACTTTGTCTAGTGCTCTTATGAAAGTCTATAGCATGATTTTTGAAAATGTAACTATACTGAATGACATAGCATAGACTTCTTCGTGGCTAGTTTTTGTGTATTTCATTTCCATTCTGTAACCTACTTGTTCTACAGATCTGTGTGTACTAGTGTTAAATGCTACTGTTTTTGACAGCGTTGATAACGTTTATGACCGATAATATCATGATAATTTTTGCGTTCCCCTTACCGAATGTCGTATCCTGTCAGCAAAAACCTGTCCATGGGCTTTTTTGATTGCTTTCAGTTTAAGTGCCAGCGATGCAGTGTTGCCAGATATTGATATTAAAACAAACAAAAAACAAAAAACAAATAAAAATAAACCGAAATTATTTCCAATCTTTTGCAAATAAGATAAGATAAAGATATCGCTGACTCTAAACTGCAACTTCCTACTTTATTAACTTTCTAAAGTGTTAAATTAAGTGGAAAAGACAAGTCCAAAAACGCTTATAATAGCTTGATCTGGCAACTATATAGCTGATCCCGTGCCCTCACTCACAACTCTCAAGCCTCGTTCACTCCGCCAGCATCTCGCAGCGATCATGTTCATAACAGGGACGCTAAACATTCTTGCAAAACTGTCTAAACTGAATTATACATGTCATGAGGAGTTTAACAGCAAATTAGTCATTCAAAGAACAAATTTTATTTTTGAACATGAAAAATTTACCGAGGTCCGGACCTCGGTGGCCTCATAGCTGGTTACGGGCCTGCATGTACTACACCAGCTTAAAGAAACATAATGGGTTCAATACAAGTAAAGCTTATTTGACAAGTTTTAGTAACTTTGTTGTGTTCTTTTGTAATTTGTTTTGTTTCTTTCCCCCTATTTATCTTTATTCTTATTTCAGTTTTTAGTATTTTTTTTTTGTTTCAACGTATTTAAATTGTATTTCAATTAGATGCCAAGGTAACATTTTAAGTTTAATAATATTTATATTTGATTTCTGCTTTATATAAATAAATAAAAAAGTTTAGAATAACCATAACACTGATGTGAAGTTTACTATTATATACAAACAATTACAAATTATTTGAGCTGAAAATCTCAATCATAATTTTTGCAGTTATTTTAAGGTTTATGCTACTATAAGACATTTCAAATGTTAATTTACGTTTTCATCTAATATTTATATTTTATTTTATATCTGCTTTATTTAAATGATCAAAACAACTTTTTTTGTTAAAAATAACACCACTGATATGAAGTTTACGTTTTTATAAAAATTATTACATTCATTGTTCTTTTAATACTTGTACTATTTGAGCTGGAAAATGGTTTAAATATATATATATATATATATATATATACTGTATATATATATATATATTTTTTTTTTTAC